AATATAGAAACACTAAGAAAGATCTGTTCTCCAGGAAACTCTGAAATTAAGCTACAACCACACTCTCTTATATATTCTCTGCCTGTTAAATAAAAATTTTATTCTGTTTTGAAAGTTACTCTGCCTCAACTGCCATTTCAAAAGGGTTTAAAAGTAAGACAAGACAGCTGCTGTATTTTCCCTCAAGTTCCTGTGCTGGATCAAAAGCCTAAATGATTGTCTGTGACAGGGTGGGACAGCTTAAGATCTTAAGCTAAAGAGTCACTACCTACAGATGACTCAGTCACTGAGGGCAACTAAAGTTTTGGCAGGAAAACCTGCCTGGGAGTGCGGAAGAGACAGAAGTTCGTCATACTAGCTAACCAGTTGAAACTGGTAAAAGGCACTCTTGGCAACAGCTGCCACCTGCTTATCTATGGTGAAAACAATAGATTGCTACAATTACGATATGCTAACAAGCTGCATGCCACATGTGTGGATTCTTCTAGACACAGCATAAATAAAGATGTTCTAGTTCATATATTTATGTTTCACCTTTCTTTTGTGGAATTCCTGATCCAAATTGGTGATATTCTTTATAACTTGAGTTGAGACGATGGCTGAGTTCAGACTAGCAGTTTTGCCCGATATAGGCACATTTCACAAATGGATTAAAGGGGCTGGTTCACACAGGCACAGCTGTCAGGCATTCCTCAGCCATACTCAACCCGTCCTATGATGATGCCCTACCACGTTAAAAAAGTACCATGTGAAAGTGGTAGAAAACCCTGGAGAGCACATTGATCCCACTTCCCGGAAGTGTGCATGCTAAAAGCTGGAGAAATAGGCGTATAGGCACATAGGCACATGTCACTGGAGTGAAACAAAGCCACTTACAGCTGCGCCTCTGCCAAGGGCAGGCCAACAGTGTGAATGCTCCCTTGCACCTCCTCCCCAGTATGCTCCCACATCAGTAGGTGCAGTGCGACTGGGAATCCCCAACACAACGTGGTCCTGGTCTTTTTGCCCCACCTCCCTCATGCTTCATACTGCCAGTCTGTCCTCAGCCGATGTATATCCACATCTCAGCTGGTCTCCCATTCAGACATGGGTTGGATTCAGCTATTTATCAGCAGAAGATTCTGAAAGCTGTGGATTTTTCCCACAGTTCCCTCCCTTCAATAGTCACATCCAGTCCTGTGAAAGTGGATTCCTAGGGGCACAGATCCACATGGATTAATGACCACATGGGTTAAAAGGCTGCAACAGGGAAGGAGGCAAAGGGGACTGCTGGCAATGGGGGGATATGAGTAAGATCTGCTTGCACATATATCACAAGATCCACCCCATACTAGACTCACCTTAACTTCAGCAAGACTGCTACATCACAGATCATTTAATGAAACTATCTATTCTGTAATTCTTACAACAGCTTAGATTTGCTCTACAATTCTTAGAATTCACCACAGTCCTCTGCAATATTATATTACATATTTATATAAAGTTGGCATTCGAAGTTAAGTTACTAAAACTTTTGTAAGCTGCTTGTTGTACTCTGTAAAAAGAAAGAAAGAAACAGAGAGAGAGGCAGTTAGTGGAAGAACTTCTGTCTTCTGGACTGAGCTGTCAATCCTGTGAGGAAAAGTAGCTTGCTTGCTTCTCCCTGACTCTGAGGAAAAGTGACTAGAAGACTTCCTTCTATTTTTGCCCTTAGTTTGGGACTGCCATTATAACTGTTTTTCATACTGTTTTGTTAAACCTCCCTTTCTGTTTTTTGTTCAATAATTGTTCAACAATGTCCCTCATTGTTCAATAATTATTTGTTTGTGTTCAGGTTTTGAATGGGGGATCCACAATCCTGTGGCCCATAACCTGGCAGGGTGAGGAAGAAAAGAACCAAGCTTCATGTTTTCTGGTTAAACGTGTAGGCTGAACAACAGGAAAATAAATGCAAATCCTTCCACTGAAAAAATTTTTTGGACAATTCTGCTATCCTTCTGCCAAGTACTGTGATCATTGGTTCCTATACAACTGTATTTCTCCACCAGAAATCACTCCCTTTCCCACTCATTTCATAGGGGTGTTTTCCCTTTTTCTCTCCCCATAGAGCTTTCCTGCCAGAGCAATATTATGAAGTGGCCTGGAGTAAAGGTTTGGGAATGAAATCCTGGCCATCGATATGGGAGCCTAAATAGGGACTATTTTCACTGACATCCCACCACAAGAAATGGCAGAAAGGGTTTTTTTCTTGAATTTGTCACTGAAAAACAACACCCCCCCCCAAGAGGCTCCCCATCCTGACAAAACATTGCAGCACATAAACGTGCAGCCTCATGACCCTGTGGTGGAGATCTGCTTATGTGCATATTGCTAACTGGAAAAAAAAATGATGTGTGCAATCAGACTTCCCAAATGGCTTGAGTTCACAAGAGAGTTCAGACATCAGGAAATGCACAGTGAAACCAATTGAATCTGTAAAGCTCAGACTTTCTCAGGTGTTGAGAAAGTCGGGGTGAGAACAAGGGGCCGATGACTGCTGGACAGGATGGGAATGAGGCTGTCTGAATGAGCATTTTAAATCCAGAAGGGAGAAGTGATGACGTTGGATCAAACAGCTCATCTGATCGCAGCCTATGATGACCTTGCCCACTTCCCTACCTAAGAGGCACTATGTTCCCTCCCTTTCTGACTGAGTTTATTAATTATTAATTTATTAATTTTCTTCTTTTCTGAAGAACTCTGGCTGTTCCACTCTGTCACAGTATGAAATTTTGCTGCTGGCTCAGCCCAGGAACCTGAGGGAAGGATCGAGATCTCCCTTAAACCAGTGATATGGTACTTGAGGCTTTTAATAGTTTAATAATAACAAAATATTTTATTCAAAGTAGAGGGGAAAGGTCAGGTGAAATCAGAAGTAAAATCTCTGATGGTATGGGATAGGCAACTAATAAATAGAATGAAATAAAATAAAAATAAATGAACTCCTTGGAGCTATCTCCTTGTTTTAGCCAGGTGGGAAAATTCTTCTCTCAGTAGAAGATCTTTCCCCTATTCTGGCCCAAATGGGAGTCTTCACTTAACTACCCACTCCTCCTGCCAGCCTTCCCAGTACACTGTCTGTGTTAAACTGCTCTCAGTCAGGGCTAAGCACAAACCCTGTCGGTACTAAACTACCTCTGTCAGGGGCTAGACTCACTCATCAGTACTAGACTCTTCAGTCAGACCTGAATTCAGACTCAATTCTCCTCAGCATTCAGTTCTCAAGTCTTTCTCTACTCAATTGATGTTAACCAATCAGCTCTCTTGGAGCAGCCTATCACTCAAGGCTCTCTGGATCTGTGAGGAATTAACCCTTCACAGTCCATTACCTGTATACACAGCACTTATAAGATTTTAAAGTACAGTTCATCATAGTCACCAATAAGTGGGGGGATAGGGTTGCCAACCCCAGCATGGGAAATTCATGAAGAGTTGGGAGTGGAACATGGAGAGAGTGGAATTTGGAGAGGAGAGGAAGCTCAGTAGCTCACCCTCCAAAACTGCCATTTCCTCCTGGGGAACTCATCTCTGCAGTCAAGAAAGAAGTTGTAATTCTCGGCGATCTCCAAGCCTTCCCCCCAAAGGTTGGCAAACCTACAGTCCACTTTCTCTTATAGGCAAGATTCCAATAAGTCTGGACCACCTAGAAGAGTTCCACAGTTATCCTACTGTTTTCTATATATTGGTGATTCTCGTTTCCTTAATAATTTCAAGAATAGTTATTTTATTTTATTTTTATTTATAGTTTTTTTATTAGTTTAGATAAAAAGTTGCACAAATTTACATTCCATCCATTAGTTACAGTTCACTCAGAGTCATTTACATTCAGTTGTTTAACTAGTCAGTTAGTCATATAACAATTAATGTTAGAGTTTATGATACATCTTTTTCTAGTTAGATCTCTGTTTGTTGTTCTATCCATCTATATATCCTGTCCCATCTCCTTATGTGTACCTTCTCATTTTTATTTTGGATCCTTAAACTTAAGTTTAAGAATAGTTATTTTAATTCTATCTAAATAAAAGACATATTTTAGTCTATGGATATGAAGTTTTCTCACAGCACCTCGAATAAATAAATACACTTCTAGATCCGTTGGTCATAAGGGAGGAAACTGTTAAAGAGTGATCATTAGAATGAATGGTCATTTTCCACACAGAGCTATGGATAGGTGGTTAATGCATTGCCTGAAGACAGCCAATGAGACTTTTCGTTTTCATGTGGCTGGTTTGAAGTAATGCTCCACCCACCCACCCACCTGGCAAAAGTAGGTTTCTTAACTGTAATAACATAGTGTCAAAACTGACAACATAGTTTTAAAAAGAGGCCTCACCTTCTTAAGACTGGAACAGACTGTTGTAGGAATGTTCCATAGGCTCATATCCACTGAGATACAGAAGTGGTTGAAGAGACCCCCATTGTCTGTTTTTGTTATTATATCTCTAAGGAGTCCAGCTTTTAAAAACCTTGCTCTCCTTTGGGTTGGATAGGTCCAGTGGTGGAAACAAACTCTGGGCTTCTGCTTCCAAACAGCAATAAAGCCATAGCTGTTAACAGCAAAAGGTGTGACTATATTTGCATATAAAGTGGTAAAACTATAACAGTCTTATTTAGAAATCCATTAGTAGATTTCAATAAAAGTAAATAAGAATGACTGCTTTGTGTTCTTTTATGGCCATTTTTATTGGTGTCATATGGTGTATCATATGCTATTTGTCAGAATGATGCCTTTTTATCTGTATAAGATAGACTTTGCTATGGTCCAAGGTCAAGACAATATAGTAATTTACAGCAACTGTTTGCTAACAAGCTGCCACAGTCACATGCTCCTTTCATTTTTCTTAGCCCTCAGCAGTTTTTGTAATACACAGCAGACTTGTGTAATATCAAATTTTCACATCTAATAGCTATTTGGGAGGAGATTTCATACATTGGGGTCAAAGAGATTGTTTATATGTATTAAAGACTGGGGCAAAAGTTAGATCTCTCTTCTGCCAGTAGAATCTGAGGAACATCTGCTTAACAGACTCAAACCAATAACAGTCATGAAAGCAGGAGGATTTCTGCTCCTCAGTCTGACACTGTTCTTCTTTTACACAGGTGAGTAATATTGCAGAGATTCCCTTTTTGGAGAGCTTTGCCACTGAGTATTATGATGGGATCCCTGGACATTATAAAAACTGTTTCATATGACATTCTTTTGTTTATCAGGACTTCTGTACTTCCAGGATATGAATTTTTTTTTAAAAAAGCTGAGATGATTTGCATTTGGGGCTGTCTCTGTTATAGGGAAATACTCCACAGCAGCACTGCATATTCCAGGTGGTGATTGCTACCGCAGTGAGATTCTGCATGCAGTAGGGCCAATCCGTATGGCGAGCAACGTTTAATTGTTAAACCCTCCCTTAGAGTTGCTGCTAATAACGTTCAAAGTAGAACTATGCAATACTACTCAAAGTAGAACTTAGGTGCAGTTCTATACACATATGATGGATTTCCTATCCACATCAATGGGATTGTCTTCACAAAGACATATTTTTAGTGATATGTTGTTGAAGGCTTTCACAGCTGGAGTTCATTAGCTGTTGTAGATTTTCTGGACTGTATGGCCGTGGTCTTGGCATTGTAGGACCTGATGTTTCACCAGTAGCTGTGACCGGCATCCTCAGTGGTATAACACAGAAAGATGGAGTACTCTCTTCTCACCTTTACACAGAGAGTACTCCATCTTTCCGTGTCATACCTCTGAAGATGCCAGTCACAGCTACTGGTGAAGTGTCAGGTCCTACAATGCCAAGACAACGGCCATACAACCTGGAAAATCTACAACAGCTAATATTTTTAGTGAGTTTGTGGAAAAAACATATTCTGGATTGAAGGGAAACAGAAGAATTTTAGTTGATTTACTAACCTTAACAGATAAATCTAGCATGTACATTAATTTGTATATCACTAAACTCTAATAAAATAAATATTTGCATTTTTGAGGTAAGTTTTTAAAGTATAAGGTAAAATGTATTCTATTTTCTGTGGCGGAAACAATGTTCTCAACATGCAAGCCAGGATCCAAATGAAGGTTTCCATGGGTGCAAGGATTTCCACTCACGGAGCCTAATTTACATGCCTTCCCCTTCTCACAGCAGCCAGCTGTGTGGCATTTGGAGGGGATAGAGGGAAACTGTTCCCCATTAGGAGAAGTCCTCGTGCTTGAGGAAAGACTAGTTTGGACCCAAACCAGAGATCTGCATTACAGCTTTTACTTTTTTGGTATTTTCATTCTAGGTACTACCATCGAAGCAACTTGGGTGAGTTCCAGCTATTTCTTCTTATTACCTCACTCTTTCTATCTGGCTGGGTGTAGGGATGCCAGCTTGGGGATCCCGCAGAATTACAGCTCATCTCCAGACTACAGAGATCAGTTCCCCCGGAGAAAATGGATCCTTTGGAGGGCGGACTCTATGGCATTGTACCCCAGGTTCCTGTCCTCCTCAGGTTCCATCCCCAAATCTCGAGGAGTTCCCCAGCCCGGATTTGGCAATCTACCTCCCCCCTCCCCTGCTGGTGACCATGGAGACCTGGCAACCCTAACTGGAAGTTATGCTTACAGGATGCTTTTTCCAAAATGGGGCAAAGAACAATTGTGGAAACTAATGTCAGCAGTCAGATTTAGAATCTGATAGATTCACACAGTAACTATTTTAAAGTTGTGAACCTGTGATGTTTAATGCACTGTTCATTTCTGTGGAGGAAAAAACCAAAAAAAAATTGCATGTGTAAAATTAATAATTGTTTTAAAAAAACAAAATTGTTCAAAAACTCAAAGTGTTTATTTTGTCATACTCTTTTTCATTTGTTTCATGTTGAACAGTAGCAAGCAGCTAGGCTACTTGAGTCATGCAAATAGAATGCTATCAAGTCACCCAGTGTTTGCTGCCAGGCCTTGGGTTGCCAACCTCCAGGTGGGACCTGGCGATCTCCCCCAATTACAACTGACCTCCAGACAACAGAGAGCTGTCCCCCTGGGAAAAGTGACTGCTTTGGAAGGTGGACTAGATGGCATTATAACCAGCTGAGGCCTCTTACCTCCCCAAACCCTGCCCAGCTTAGACTCCACCACAAAATCTCCAAGAATTCCCCAGCCTGGAGCTGTCAATCCCAGTCAGGCCTGTTAGCCGAATTGCTTTATTTACAGCAATTGGCAATTTATAAATGGGTTCTTGCCAGTTTATACCAAGGTCCTGTTCCCACAAGGATTACCAGAGAAGGATAACGAGACTGTTGTTGTTAAAATAGATGTCTTTTACTTAAAGAATAAATCTCATACAAACAATACTGATGTACTCAGACATCCAATCAAGTTCCTAAGAATTACAGTAGGAAATAAGCACAGTTGCATTAGCAGGTGGGGGTGATGGCAGGTGATACTTATCTGTCTTGCAGCTTGGTGGTCCCAATGAAGAATAGAGGGGAAGAAATAAAAAACTAAGGAATTCACACACGACCAGAACCAGCCGAAACGCGTGGGCAGTAGAGGCAAGGGTTGGGGATAGCAAGGGGGACTTAAGAGGGGTTAAAAGTAGACAGGGGTAGTTGCAGGTAGGGGGGGCAGGTGACTGGTTCTCTCCTTTTCTAGTGGTTTCAAGAGATGGGTGGTAACCGTGCCAACCTCTTGTCCTACCTACCTGTTAGTCTGTCCCAAAAACAATCCTATTGGTTGCATGGAGGGAGGGGTGATTACCTAAGAGGGGTGGCCAATATTGAAACCTAAAACCTTGCTCAAAGGATGGCATCTGGACAGGTGTGAAAACCTTGGCATCAGGAAACTTCATTGTAGTGTTGATGAAGCTGGCCATTCTCATTGTGAACCAAATGTCCATTTGGCAGGAAATACCAAAGCAGGAACAAAGCAGTTGATGGGTGGTACGTGACCACAAACAGTTCAGCAATGGGGGCTGTCTCTGCTCAGAGCTGTTGTTTCTCATTGCTCACAATAATGGAGGTGTGTGCTTCTTTCACCAGGCTGGTAACTGTGTAGCTGAAACCTTATTCACGTGTAAGGCTTGTGTAGGCACCTTCTATGTGTTGCATCACAACAGGTGACTTAAAGTGTACAGTTCTTTGAGCCTATGTGTGTGTGCACAGTCCATTGTGTGTAGCAATAAATATAGTTCATAAAGCAAATATCCAGTTCATTCTCTAACAGGCCGCTGGACCCAGTGAGTCAACTGCCAAAATAGGCCTGGAAAGGGACCTGCCCTCTCCCCTTGCCTTTTACACACTAAAACTCAGCCTGCAACACTGTTGTGACCCAACAACAGCCACTGAGAGAATCTGTTGCTTAAAGCTACAGGCACTGTTTGTTTGTTTTTTTAATAAAGGTTTTATTAGCTCCCCTAAAAAGGGGAGGTATTTCGCTTAAAAGAAAAAAAGGGAAGGGTAGACAGTGGGAGGAAGAGAAAGCTGAGTGATATATAAACTGGTAAATTAAACTGTTAGTAATATCCAATTAATCTTCTTAGGCTTCTTCTGTGTGTTGCCAAACTTCTTTTCTTAGTCCTGTTACACGTATTCTCTGTTAGTATGTTAGTAATGTTCCTTTGAGATTCTGTTAATAAAAAGGATCTCTTCTGTGCACATTCAGAACCGCTTCTTTGCGTGCTGGGTACTTTTACTATCGCTGACGTGGAGGAGCTTCCTCTGTTGTCTTCTCCTTCCGGCTTGTTAGATCCTCCTTCGGGTTGTTGTTAATACGCTCAGTTCATGTACTATAAATCCTCTTCTTCTCATGCCATTACCAGAGGTCCCCAGTTTCGAGAATGGTATCAATTTCATTTTCGCTTTTATATTCGCTCCCAGACTCTCTATGGGTCCTCCTCGCAATTGTTGACTTATAAGCGCTTGTCAGGCACTTCTCGCTGTCACAATTCCAACTTATCTTTTTTACAAAACTCCCGTCGGATTCACAGCCATAAACAGTCCAAACACTCAACAGCCGGCTCTCGCACACAAACAAAACGCCCAGACGGAAGTCCCTCCCTTCTTCTCCGCTCGCTTTTGCCCAGCTCCGACATCTTTTCTTTTTTGTTTACTTTTAGAAAGTTCTTAAAATGTGCTCCAGAGAGACAAGTTTCTCGCTTTGAAATACATCAAAGGAAAACATCACTGTCCGCTCAATTCATCCCCCCCCTCCTTTTCTTTTTCGCTTGTACCGATGGAGGATTAACCTCTTCGCCTTTTTCGCTGGGAGGGGGGGGAAAACAATTTTCAGTTCTTTTTCTCTGCATTTTGACAACTCACAGTTAAGCCGATCTTTTCTTTTTCTTTTTCCATTTTTGCGGATGGTCGCTTTATCACTCGGTGACGTCTGGTGGCTCCGCTATACCCTGTTCGGGGTCGCTCACGCAGCAACGTCCATTGGGGCAGGGCATGGCGAGAGCCTCGCTCTCCGACCCTCGGCCGAAAGAGCGACTCCCCCCTAGGCTACAGGCACTGTTTTTATCATTTTCGGATTATTATTTTTTTAAGCCCCAGTGTTGTTGTTTTTAGATGTCACATTTTTCTGCAAACCCAGGGCCCTTTTCAGGGTTGTAAAAAGATCTGTCTTGCCCATTCACAGCTCCTGTCACCAGATATAACTATCCAAAGATTGGCTGACTTTGCTATTAGAATTTAAGATACAATTTCTACAAAAAATCACTGGGATTCCAGGTTGTGTAGCAGGAAATATACCATGGATAGAACTGGGAGTTCACTCTTTGGAACTATACCCTGGACTGCTGCATTTCAGATGTGGTTCCAGCTATTTCTAAGCTCTCCTTTTGGGGAATTCAGATTGAGGACCTGAGGTCCTCTGGGATGGAAGCTGCTCAAATGCTGATTTTGAGGGTTTTTTGTATGAACTGGATTTCCTGAGCTCTTGTGATAGATCACACATAGTTTGCTCCTCCCCCCTTTATTTATCATATCATATCCAAGGGCCTTTCCTGAATATTTAAAATATTTAACTATTCCACAATATAGAAGAGCAGTTATGTTAGCCAGCTTAAACACGATAGCCTTCTCAGGTAATGTGTGGTCACTATAAGAAACTTCCTCACTCGAAAAGATTATGTTTGGGTCAATTGAGGTGGACTGATACATCGGAACACTGTCTTTTGGAATGTGTGTTTTATTAGGATATAACAGAATTATGGATTTTGCCACTTCTTCAAGGGAAGCCCAACTGAGAGAAACTGAGAGTGCTCCTAGCAGGCATTGAACACAGGGCCACTTTGGTTGTTGCAAAGTTTCCCTCCCCCAAGCTATGGCAAGATATAGTAATATGAATAAATAAATGAGTCCAAGTGTGGAGTCGGGTTACTACTGTTTTCAACTTTATTTGGGTGATACTGCTCAAGGCCATTAGGTTAAGTAAGTAGTTTCATTTAAGTAAGTACCTTTATTATTTCATTCAAGATGTAAGCTTTTGTATGCATACGTACTTCCACAGTTTTCATTGTATCTGAGGAAGTGAGCTTGCACACAAAACCTTATACCCAGAATAAAACTTTGTTGGTCTTAAAGGTGCCACTGGACTTGAACTTTGTTCTGCTGCTTCGGTTGCCCACCTGAATCTACCTTTATTGTTGTTCATTAGATTTTTATCTCACCCTTCCTCCTAGGAGGTCTGGGCAGCATACTTGGTTCTATCTGCCTATGTTTAGCCTCACACACATACAAACAAATCATGGTTAAACTGAAAAACAGTGGCTGACTCAAGTCAACTGAGGCCCCGGTCACACAGGCCAGATAACACCGGGGGGAGGCGTGGCTGTTCGCCCCGGAGCAAAATAGCCCGATCACATGGTCCCCTGAATCTCCGTGCTTCGGCTGTTAGCTGTCGCTCACACGGCAATGCTGCAGCGTGGCAAAGAAGCGGTGCAGCGCAATCACACAAGTGTTTCGCGTTTGTGCACATGCGCAGTTCCACGGAGCAGCACTACTTTCAGTTTCGTGTTTGAGCGCATACACTTACGGGAAACATCCGGTTTGCGATGGGACGTGGATGGGCGCCGGATGCCATGGGATACTAGCGCTCCTGCGATCAGAAACCCGCCCCTGCCCCACATTTTCCGGATACTACTGCACTTTCCAAGGTACTTTTTAACTCCGCATCTTTGGCGGGACACCACGGGTTGACCACGGGTGCGCTATGCTTCCCAGATGTTGTGGTGTGATCTCCCTGAAAATCTGCCTGACATTCGTGCCTTTCACGCGGCAAAATCTCTGTGTGACCGGGGCCTGAGTGAGTTTTTGGCAGAGTGGGGATTTAAATCTGGATTTCCACAATCTTTCTTAAATCATTTTCCATACTGCCTCAGGTGCCTAATGGTTTTTTTTTTTAAGTCCTGTATTCTAAAGATAACATTTAAAGTGTATTTTCTGCTGTTCTCTTTGCAGCTGGATTGTACAGGGTATCCCAGAAGAGCGTGCACCTATGACTACCGTCCTCTTTGTGGTACTGATGGAATAACCTATAGCAACCAGTGTTTGTTCTGCAATGCCTACGTGTGAGTATAGATTTTAGCAGGGCTTTTTTTGTAGAAAAAGCCCAGCAGGAACTCATTAGCATAATAAGGCATACCCAACAGCAGAAACTCATTAGCATATTAGGCCACACCCCTGATAGTACAGATCATTAGCATATTAGGCTATACCAGAAGTGTGGTCATCCAGGCACACCCACCTTTTGCTTCTTATTCTGTTTACCTTTTGTTGTCAAAACCCAGGGCTTTTTTTGTAGTAGGAGCTCCTTTGCATGTTAGGCCACACACCCCTAATGTAGCCAATCCTAATGAGTTTCTGCTGTTGGGTGTGGCCTGTTATGCTAATGAGCTCCTGCTGGGCGTGGCCAACTCAGGAGCCAGCCGGAACTCTGTTCCTGTGCATTCCTGCCCCAAAAAGCCCTGGATTTTAGTGATGAAGAACAACTGAAAAAGGTGAACAGAGGTACGCCAAGGCAGTTCTAAGGTCTTGTTGCCTGTTTAAGGCTAATTCTGAAACTAATAATTGCTCCAGGTAAATTTTGAACCATGATTTAAATTTTTTTTGCTGATACAGATCAGCAATGATGTTCAAAAATATTTTATCAAACATCATGGGCTGCTTTCAATAGCTCTAACATTTTGTTACTCTGGTCATAGTATCCAAAAAAAGACATTGAGGAGCTGGTAAAAGGACAGAAGAGGGCAACCAAGATGATTAGGGGATTGGGGCACCTTTCATATGGGAAAGGCTGAAGAGACTGGGACTTTTCAGTTTAGAAGAGAAAACTAAAGAGGGAGCATGATAGAGGTTTGTAAAATTATGCACCGGGTGGACAGAGAAAAGTTCTTCTAAAATTCTAGAACTGAGGGGTTATCCAATGAAGCTGATGGGCAGTAGATTCAGGACAAACAAAAGTGATTAAAATGTGGAATTCACCGCCAGAGGATGTCATGATGGCCACGGGCACAGATGGCTTTAAAAATGGATTAGACAGATTCATGGAGGAGAGGTCTATCAATGGCTACTAGCCATGATGACTAAAGGGAACCTCCACATTCAGACGCCATACACCTCTGAATACCAGTGGCAGGGGGCAACATCCAGGGAAGGCCTCAGCTTCTGTGCCCTGTTGTTGGACCTCTGAATTGGTTGGCCACTGTGTCAAACAAGATGCTGGACTGGCTGGCCCACTGGTCAGATCCAGCAAGGCTGTGGTGTTGGTGGAATCTGAGAGACCGAGATCTGAATCCCTACTCTGCCATACAAGATTGTGATGGTGGAATCTGAGAGACTGAGATTTGAATCCCTACTCTGCCATACAAGCTTGCGGAGTGACTTTGGGCCAATCATACAGCCTACCCTACATCACAGGGTTGTTGTGAGTCCTGATCCAGCCCCCGGGCCACATGTTTTGACACCCCTAATCTAAACCATGGGTTGCATTTGCCCCACAAAGTGAGAGTGCAAACTAGGGACATAGTGAGTCAGCCAACATAAAGTAGTGGGAAACTCGAGTTCAGATCCCCACTCTGGGTGACCTTGAGCCGGTCGCTCTCTTGCAGCCTAACCCAACTTGCAGGGTTGTTGTGAGAATAAAATGGGAAAGAGAATGAAGTAAGCCACTTTGCATACCCATTGGAAAAAATGAAGTAAAGTATATGTTTTAAAAAATCTTTTTTTAGCTCTCTAATGAGCAATCTTCTGGATCGGCATGCTGATTTCTCTGTTTTGTCTTTTTCATGCCAGCTGGCAGCGTGGGAGGCTTAGCCTGAGGCACATGGGAGCTTGCTAAAATTTTACGGATGCACGAGAGTAAAGAGAGCCTACAAGAGAATGTCCACTTCATTTCCTGCCTTCCTAATATAATCATCACCTGAAAGGAACCCTTTCTTGCCTTGTTCCTGCTCCATTGAATCCAAGCCATTCGTTTTAAATAAAACAAAGCTTTCTGCTTCTTACACAGCTTGCTTAATTGCTTCCTGTTTAATTCGAATATTTTGAAGAACTTTCTCAAACCCCAATGTAAACATGATGGATGACTACCTTGAGTATCAGGTGCAAACTAGACGTCCGTCTATTAAATCTGAGTCTACCCCAATCCATGATTTTAAGAGTGAAGGGGGTGCAAGGCTAGAAGCATGTAAAATCTATCACCCTCGGATGGGCTGATGCAGGCCCTCCTCCAGTGATACTTTTGCCTCATCCAGATTCTGAGCCTGCTTGGGAGGAAAAAACCCTGCTGTGGAGATAAGCAAGGAGGCTTTCGTGCTTTTCACCTGCATGTCCTTTGTGGGTTTTCAAGCCCCCATTTTATATAGAGGAAGAGAAAATGGATCCAGCCTGCTTTACCAAGACCTGGGTAGGGGGAAATGATGGGATGCAGCTATCTCAGTTAACCCTACCTGGTTATGTGGCCCTTCATCAGCCCTGCACCCAGTGCCAGATTTACGCATAAGCTAAATAAGCTACAGCTTAGGACCTCACAATCTGCTGGAGCCTTATTTGTCATTTTAAAACCCTTTAATTATGTAATTATTTCTGTGATTTTGTAAACACATCCTTTATTATTATTGTGGGGAGAAGAAGCTAAGGTGATTGTAAGCTACTATGAGACTCCTTCGGGTAGTGAAGGGCGGGATATATTACCAACTCTTCTTCTTCCAAATACTAGCCAAGGCCGACCCTGCTTAGCTTCCAAGATTTGGCGGGATTGGGCTAACTTGGGCTATCCAGGTCAGGGCTTTTACCTTACTCTGTCTCCAAAGAGCTCAGGGCAGCATACATAATTCTCACCTCGTTTTATTCTTGCAGCAACCTAGGGTTACCAATTCCAGGCTGGGAAATACCTGGAGATTTGGAAGTGCGGCCTGGGGAGGGGAGGGGAGCAGGGCATAATGACATAGCGTCTACTCTCCAAAGCAGCCATTTCTTCCAAGGGAACTGGAGATCAGTTGTAATTTGAGAAGATCTCCAGGCCCCACTGGGAGGTTGGCACCTCTACAACAACCTTGTGAGATAGATTGGGCTGATGGAGAGAGAAAAAGCAAGCAACCGACAAGGGTCGTGAAGCAACCTTTATGGCTGAAAAGGGATTTGCCCCACACTTCCCAACTCTTAGACCAACACTCTAACCCTTGGCTGTCATATGTTTTAGAAGAAACTAAGAGAGGCGGGTTTGCCTAAGGCTACGCAGTGTGAGTGTGTGGAGATGAGAACTGGCTGCTTTGCAGCAGATCATGAGATGCAAGAACAAGTTTAAAACTCAAACATAATCTAAATAAGCACAAAGTGACCAGTCACAAGATAAATAATTGATGGCCCACTTAAGTTTCTCATAGAGATAGTCATAGACTGTACTACTTGCCTTTCATAGTCTTTTAGGGACTATGAGAGCCAGAACAGTGTAGTGGTTAAGAGCAGTGGACTCTAACCTGGAGAACCGGGTTTGATTCCCCACTCCTCCACATGAAGCCTGCTGTGTGATCTTGGGCCAGTCACAGTTCTCTCAGAACTCTCTCAATCCCACCCAGGGTGTCTGTTGTGGGGAGAGGAAGGGAAGACGATAAAGCTGCTTTGAGACTCAAGGTGGAGAAAAGCAGGGTACAAAAACCAGCTCTTCTTCTTTTAATTCTACACTTTACATTTGATTTGTGTGCAAGGATCCACTTTGGCCACAATCCATATGGCCCTCCCCTTCCTCATGGTTGCTTTTTAAGACCAAATGCCACATCCGGATTTCCAATCAAAGAACTCCAACATCATTATGTAGTTTAATCCTTATCAAAGTCTGTCTGAAAATATTTTAATATCTTTTGAAAAGTATACATCGGCTGCGGTCACACGGAACAGTAGCCACACAAGTGAGACGGAAGACAGGCAGAGTTTCTGGGCGTGATCTCACCAGCACATCTGGGAAGCGTAGCACTCCCGTGGCTCAACCAAGGCTTCCCGCTGAAACTGCGTGGCAAAAAACTAGTACCTTGGAGGTACTAGTTTCTGGAAACTGTGGGGCAAGGGCGTGCGTCTGATCGCGTTTCCGGTGGCATCCGCGCCCGCCCATGTCCCCTTGCAAATAAGGTGTGTGGTTTTTTTGTCCAAGTCTCTGTGGATGTGCACACGCACCCAACGGAGCATGCGCATTTGTCGTGTACGAACAAAAAAACCCAGTTTGCCGCAGCGCGCGCTTTTTTGTTGCGCGCCAGCTTGTCCTGTGATCGGCACCTCTCCCTTCCCATGGAACCTCCACGGTACCTCCACAGGACCTCCACGGGAGGTCTGATCGCGTAACCACGCGGTAGTTTGCCCCAGGGCAAACAGCCACACTTCTCCCCCGCAGTTTCCTGCCTGTATGACCGGGGCTATTATCTTGTTTAAGCACCCACAGATATTTTCCACACATTGTCCAATAATTTAGAATTGAAGTGTTTGCACACCCAAAAGATAGCAACCATATTTCCCACATTTTCACATTTGGAAACTGGAATAATAAAAACACTCAAAGAAATATATGCATACATTGATTAACAATGAGAAATATTGTTTTGATTTCCATGAGGAGAGCATCAGTGCGGCTTAGATGCTGAAATATAAGAGCATTTTTACTTGGGAAAGATGCTGGGTCATTTCAATGAATTCTGGTCCTGGTAGATATCTTAAAAGATTAATTTGTTATTTATTGATTTAGAATACTACTATGCCACCTCTTCAGAGTCCTGCTTGAGGCAGTTTACAATTAGAAAACATATTATTTTTAAAAAGCCATTAAACAAAAGCCATGTAAAAACAGTCCATGAGGCAGAGCAGGCTATTAAAAAGCTGGTTAACCCCTAATTAAAAGCCTGAGTTAAAAGATGTGTTTTGGCCTGATGCCTAAAAGAAAGTAGAGTAGGTGCCAGGTGAGCCTCAAGGGGAGGGGCATTCCACAGACAAGGCGCCACCACACACACACACACAAAATCTTGTCTCTAATCTCACTTCTGAAGTCAGGGACACAGAGGGAGCAGTACTTGAGATGTGAGCTGGATAGTATGGGAGGAGATGGTCCTTGAAGTATCCTGGCCCCAAGATATATATGGCCTTAAAGTTAACTTTGAACTATACCCAGAAATAGATGGGTAGCTAGTACAGATCTTTCAGCACTTACAATTCCTTTCAGCATCTTACTATCCCCGTAACCAAACCCTGACCACCTGGCCACCGCATTTTGGACCAGGTAAAGTTTCCAAGCTATTTTCAAAGGTTTAGAGCACATTATACTAATGTTACTTGGATGGGATCATAGCATGGATTATGTCGGCCAGATCATGCTTCTAGAGGAATGGCCTTTGCTGGAGAACCAGCTGGAGATGATAAATGGTTCTACATGCCTCCAACCATAGGCAATCTAGTAGTACCCCAAGCTATGATCCTGGTCTTTCAGGGGGCATGCAAACCCATCCAGAACAGGCTGACTTCACAGTCCCTGAGCAGCTTCTCCACTGAACAACAGTACCTCAGTCTTGTCTGGACTGAGATTCAATTTGTTGGCCCTCCTCCATTCCAGTACCTTTTCCAAGCACTTATTCTGTACTTCTATGGACCCACCTGGCTTAGCTGTTAAGGAAAAATAGAGCTGGGTGTCATTCATATATTCATGACATCTCACTTCAGATCCCCAGACAACCTCTCCCAGTGGTTTCATGTAGATGTTAAATAGCATGGGAAACAGGATGGAATCCTTTGGGGCCCCATAGCATGTATGCCATTGTGCCAAGCAGCAGTCCCTCAGTACCACATTCTGGAATCACTTTGTCAAGTAAGAGTGGAACCACCAAAGTATGGTGCTCCCTGATCCCAACCTAGCCAGCCTCTCCAGAAGGATTCCACAGTCAATTGTATTGAAAACGTCTAGGAGGTCCTGGAGAATCGACAGGGACACCTGTCTGTCCCCCCTCAAGGTCATCAGTCAGGGCAACTAAGGCCTTTCCCCCCCTTAAACCCAGAACTGGATTCAGATTGAAATGGGTCTAGATAGTCCACTGTCTCCAAGACCAGCTAAAGCTTTTTAGCTATCATCTGCTCAAGCACCTTGCTGAAGAATGGAATGTTAGAACCAGATCACACACCAATAGTACCCTGAGATTGCATCAGTCCAATTGTGGCATCTAAACAGTGGGAAATGCAAGCAATTTTATCTGCAAAATGCATTGCAAAGGAACCACAGCAGGCTTGTATGTTTTCCAAATCAACATCCTCTGGGGCTGGTCTAGATGGGCAAAAGATAAAAATATAGATTTTTATTCTACGGGGCTAGATGAGGTATGGATAAATAATAATGAAAAAGTCATTGGTAAAGTGTATAATTATTTACTGGAATACAATATGCAAGCCCCAAATGATAAAATGGGCACAATATATTGGGTGAAACATTGATTTTGAAGAATGGGAGAAATTTTGGTCTAGAAACTTAAAATACATAAAAACAAGTAACTTTAAAGAAAACATTGTTAATATGTTTTATATGTGGCATATTACACCGGAAAGACTTAATAAATTTAACAAGACTATCTCTGTAAAGTGTTGGAAATGTAAGGCAAATGTAGGCACTTATTTTCATATTTGGTGAGTATGTAAAAGAGCAAAAAAGTTTTGGAAAATTGTGAAAGGAATGTTAGAAGAGATTTTTGAGATAGATATACAATTGAAACCAGAATTCTTTTTATTAAATATGTTACCTGAGGTATTTAAGAAATACGAAATATATTTAACTATGCATATATTAGTGGCAGCCAGAATTCTATTTGCGAAGTACTGGAAAAATGAAAATATACCTATGAAAGATGAACTTATATACAAAATAATGGAAGTTGCTGAAATGGAAAAATTAACATTTACTATACAAGGTAAAAGTGAAAAAGAATATGATAAATATTGGACTAAAATGTATATATGGCTACAAAAAGTTTGAGAAAGTTAGCTAAGTGAAAGACTGAAGAGT